GGCTCATTGGTTTGGTTTGGTTGACGTATGATATGTCATTCTATTCAGAGTGTCATTTTCTATCTAATAAAGTAAAAAATAAGGAGGGGGCTATTTAAAAATCAAAAGTTGTAGTAATTTCCGGTGAAACAGGAAGTGTCCAAAAACAATTGAATACGTCAATTAATCCTAATTTATTTCATATACTAACGTACCAATTGTCGTTTTTTTATCTGAAAAAATATAAAAGTTATAGTGGCGAGTCACTTTTGAGTTTTGAGCCACACCCAGTATAATTATATTAATGTTTTTTTTTTAATTTTTTAGTTTAATTTATAAATTTAATAATCAATTAATTTAGTTTGCATACCTTTGAATGAATATATTAAAGCAAAGAAACCGTTATAAGCAACAAACTAATATAATTTTAATGACACTAAAAATCGACAAACAATACGGTTCGTGTCAAGCCCACAGTGAAACGAAACTTTAAGCCGCAACAAGAATTTGGGGAAAACGCGAAGATACATTCCGAATCGGTAATGAACCGGTCCTATGTGACCCCCAAGCACAGAACTGAATCAGAATTGATGTTATGCGAACACCTGTCATTTTTAATTCTTGGACTATTTTTGTATGTATTATACATAATATTTTGTATTGTATTATACATATTTTAATGTTTATTGTATTTAAATAATATACCATTTGAAGGGGTTAGAATCATAAGGGTCTAAATACATCTGACATTGTTTTGAGATAATTAATTGCTTATTGTAAATTCTGCATGAACGCATTTGAAATGATTGTTGCGTAAAAGAATGCTGTTCATGTAACTATTTCATATACCGTTTGCCACAGACTGAAAAAAACTTCTGACAACTTTGATTACTTTCTGTCAGGAAAAAAAGGTATAAGTCGATTTTTTATAAAAATAACTAACATTTTATTATACAAAAAAGGTATCAAAAAATACAACACGAACTTTAGCCAAATAATTCTAATTTTCGTAATCCGACACCACACTGTCGTTGCCTTCATCCATTTCTGGATTTTGCTCAACTTCAACCATAACCGTCGTCTGATTTTGTTTTTTGGAACTTTTGTTTGCTTTTGCCTCATGGGGCTTAGTCATGGTGAATAGGTGGAATAAATGGTAGAAGTTAGATTTTCCCATTTTATGTACGGAATCTTCAATGGAGTTGGATATAAGGGCTTGAAAACTTCGTTATTTAGCAACAAAGATGGTCTTCCCCTTTTAAGAGTCGACCAATCAAAAATGTGCTCTTACTTTACCATACAAAAAAGAAAAAAAGTTCTCTTTTTTGAATTGGAACCAGACTATCTCACGCTTACTTATCGGTTTCTTTTCAACGTCCTTTTTTGGGTCAATCATTATACTGTTAAGATGTTGAAATAAAACGAAATCAGTTTTTTCCAATTCATAAACAGTGAATTTTTTAGATGTTTTCTTTATAACTTTAGTCCAGTCCCCTGGAACAAAAACGGTTAATAAAGTTTTCTTGGCTTTCTCAATGCGGGCAAAGAGCGATCATAGTCCATATATGAATGTCCAATTTCAAAAAACATGTGATCTATTTTTTCCAGGCTAGTAGATTGGACTAAATACATAAACAACTTCTCAATATTTTTGTTCTTGTTCTGGCCCCCACATTGATCACTATAACATATCAAATGGGTAACACTTTTAGGAAGACTTTTGACATACTAAAAATAATGGTTTATAGAGCATCTTTATAATATGATAATGTATTATATAATGATTTATGTAATACAGTCGCTTACCGGACTTGTTTTTATTCTATTTACTCATTTTAAAACACACAAAATATCAGAAAAACAAAAGAGCCGGTTTGCACACGTCAATTATATTGAATCTATGTGACAAAACTTTGCAAAAAATTTGGGAGTCAAATAGATCCAAGTGCGCTTCGATCCCTTTGACACTAAGAATAAATGTGATAAACTTAGTAACTTTTTTGCCCGGTTAATAGATGGCGCCAAATGTCCCAGAATCACTTGAATCTCTTTGCTACCAAACAAACACTACATTTAACTTTGAAAATATGGGTCTAACTCATATTTTTAAAAAATGTCACTTAGGCCCTTATGATTCTAACCCCTTCATTTACTCCATACTCAGTTAAGCACATCTCGAAAATATGGTGTTATTTTAAACTTTATAATCAATTTTAGTTAATTTTTATGTATATTGATTACAATTTCTGATTTTTTATATACTATGTAACGCCTGCAGAAGATAAAATGTTTGGTTTTTATCTCAAAAGAGGACCTGATACCAAATACAAAAAGTTGTAAAAGCGAAAATAAAAAAAACGTGCTATTAAGAGAAATCTGGAATTTAAGTTTAAAAAATTACATTTTCTTCCATAAGGACATTTCGATATTTTTAATTTTTTCCTTTGATTATAAACTTAAAACCACCTAAAATTCAAAATTTGAAGTTTGTGACACATCTAGAAGTACCTTAGAATTTTGATGATGTGTCAGTGAGTCAATGTCGAAATTAAAGAAATTTCATAAATATACAGGGTGTCCCAGGCTGAGCGTGCATTAGAAGTTTCTAGAGAACCACAATATCTAGATCGGAGATTTTTTGCACATCATTGTTTTACAACGAGTTCTATCGATTAAAAATGTTTTCAATATGGCGGCACTTCCGAAAATACCGGAAGTTGACAGAACCTTTCTTATTTTAAATGGGTGCCCCCATTTTTTATTTCATAATAAATCTATCAATTTTAATTTATAAACTCAGTTTTTTATAAATTTTAGTATTTGGCTTATTATACAGGAAGAAATAATTTATCGGGCAAGTCTACAATAAGATTAGTCATGAGACATGACTAAAACATGACTACCCGTAGACACTCAGTGTTTCTGCCTTCCTGCTTCATCAATAGGGGGGGGGAGGGAATCAATTGCTTCCCTTTTTCTTTTTTCAGGATCACTAGTTCATCGTTGCTGATTCCTCCCGTATTGATGAAGCCGTAAGGCAGAAACACTGAGTGTCTACGGGTAGTCATGTCTCATGACTAATATTACTGTAGGCTTGCCCGATAAATTATTTCTTCTTTTTATTACAGACCCCACGATAACATCTCTTGTTTATTATTATACAGGGTTAATTGAAGGGTTGTTTTTTACCCTAACTTTAAAATACCCTGTGCAATAATTTCGTGAGTGACTTTTCCTAAAATATTACTTTTCTGTCGGAATCATGTCTCCTGAACATTTTGTTTTTTAACTCGTGTCAACACATGCCTTGGTTAATTTTTAAGAGCGAAATGAACAACCAACAATTTTCTTACCACCAACAATTTTTCAACTCTCATTACTTTATGATATTATTTTTTATCACGAGGTGGCTTTAGTGACTATTTTCGTAAGTCTGTAGACGCCGGTTCATAATGTTAATGAGGCTGCAAATATATTGTGTTATGTGTTCCTATTATTCTTCAAGGATCAATCGAATATTCATAATTTCGGCCATCTTCAACAAGATCAATGACTTTTACACAATCTTCGACTCTAAGAATCATATTCAATCGTACACAACAATAATCACCAGGCATAGCTACCGTCATTATGAAAAATAACATCAAAAAGTAAGGATAATTGAAAAAATTGTAAAATGTTTGTAGAAAGTTCATTTTGCTCTTAAAAATTAACCAAAACATGTGTTGACATGTGTCAAAACACAAAATATTCAGGAGACATGGTTCTGACCGAAAAATAATGTTTTAGGAAAATTTGCTCACGAAATTATTGCATAGGTTGATTGAAAGATCATTTGTTATTATATATTGCACGGCACCATAATTAAAAAGAATAATCTACCATTTCGATTACTAAGTAAATCTAAACAGTGTCATTAAGAATAAAGTTTTAATTACCAGAGAATATTATATCGTGCAATTGCCAAGTCATTATAATTATTACAGAAATAAAGATGTCTATTGATTCTAACAATTTGTAACAAAGTTGTTGAATAGGTGTTTAAAGAGAAACTAAATAAAATAAACTGAGTTGGTTTTACATGAGATCTCACAACTCACAGCTTTTTATAGTGGAAGAATTGTATTGCGAGACTGATGGGATCTAAATTACACATTATTTCAGAAAACGTTTGTCTTTACAATTTTCAACACAAAATATTAATTATAAGAAAATAATGAAAATATATTTTTTCTCTTTGGAAAGATTTTTACAAAAAATATTAATCGCTTTATTTTATACTAGTTGAAGCCTGGCGCATCCACCACGACATCAGGGAAAAAATACTTCCGGAAAAACAAAAAATCCGGCTACGGCAGTTTTTAGAAGAGCCAATTAGCTATGTTTTAGTAAAAAAAGCAACTTTGTAGAGCAAGTTGTTACTTCAGTAGAGACGACACAGATAAACGTTAGCATTTTATATAATACTAGTTTAAACCTGGCGCATCCGCCACGACATGCGACATCAGGAAAAAAAATTCCTTATTTTTTTTTAATTAAATGAAAAACAAAAAATCCGGCGACGACAGTTTTTAGAAGAGCCAATTAGTTATCTTTTAGTAAAAAAAGTAACTTTCTATAGCAAGTCGTTAATTCTGTAGAGACGACACAGATAAACATTAGTATTTTATATATGTAGATGTAGATTGTATAAAGGACTATTATAATTTTTAATGTTATTATATTATGGGATTCGACAAAATAGGTTGTTTTTCAATAAACATTGTTACGGATTCCGTGGGCCCTTAATTTAAACAATTTGTTTTTTTTTTAATTTAATTGTTCAGTATTGATTATAATTATGTGAATTTTCTTGATTATGATCATATTGATTTATTAATAAAAAAATGTAAAAACCTAATTGCGACAGTGCCACGTTTAAAAACACTACATTTTTTTCAAATCCGAAATTTGAAAGAGTACCACAAAGAAATCTCCAATCATCGCTATACCAACATGGACTCTATTCTTTTAAAGGAAGCCCCTGGCACGTCAACATAATGGCCAACACCGGTTCCAACATCTCGGTGATGGGCGAATCGACTCGGCTGGTGCCCGCCAACACCCCGGCAGTTTTCGAGATCATCACCAGCACCAACACGGCACCCGATGATCTGTTGGTCCACGTAATAGCGCCCAGTAAAAGGACAGTACCGGCTAGGGTGTTGCCCGGGAATAGAACTGGTTAGTTCTGGATCAGGTTCACGATGCTGGATTAGAAGTAGAGTTTCTCTCATGGTTTCGGTCGGTTTAAAAATATTGTGTTACAAGTTACAATACTAAATAATGTACATTACAGGTAAATTAAAAAGAAAAAAGACTCAAAGTCTCGGTCTTATTCATTTACCGGGTGTTGCATCGTCGGACGGGACATAGGAAATCCCATGTAAATTTTAATGGTGTCAATTATTGGCTTCCCTAATTATTTTAGAGAATAATTCTATTTAGGTTTATTGAAGAGCACTAAAACCCACATTCAAAAGAATAACTTTAGATATTTTTGATTAGCTCGTTTCAAAGTTATCGCCGATTTCTTTTTAAATATTTCTCCTTTCTTATGGCCCTGTATTCACTTATGAGCACCAGTCAAGGTAAATATAATTGTCAAATGAAGTCATTTCAGAAATTTACCTATTTAGTGCTTTATTATTATTGAAAACTCATTCCTACGTCGGAAATCTTAAAGATGTATTTATAAATACAAATTAATATGAATTAAAGTAAAATAAAGTAATCAATTACAAGGGTAATTATAGTATTATTACAATATTCAATAACTTATTAATTTAGGTACTATTAAATGACAACTTCATTTGACAGTTATGCACCTTGACTGGTGCTCATAAGTAAATACAGGGCCATAAGAAAGGAGAAATATTTAAAAAGAAATCGGCTATAACTCGTAAACGAGCTAATCAAATATGTCTAAAGTTATTCTTTTGAATGTGGGTTTTAGTGCTCTTCAATAAACCTAAATAGAATTATTCTCTAAAATAATTAGGGATTATATAGGGATATATTATATTTAAAAAGAAATCGGCTATAACTCGTAAACGAGCTAATCAAATATGTCTAAAGTTATTCTTTTGAATGTGGGTTTTAGTGCTCTTCAATAAACCTAAATAGAATTATTCTCTAAAATAATTAGGGAAGCCAATAATTGACCCCATTAATATTTACATGGGATTTCTTATGTCCCGCTCGACGATGCAACACCCGGTATGTTAAAACTATGTTACACGTGTTTCGCTCAGCATACAAGTATCATCAGACAAATAGAAATTAAAATTACAGCACACACATATTTCACATTACAGTAAAGACTCGATAATCCGGATCAATTAAAGCACAGGTTAATCCGGATTAATAAAAAATCCGGATTATCGCGATTTGCATTTTTATACACATATATTTAAAAAAAGGAATAAAATAAAACATTTTTATTAGCAAAACCTTAAACAAATATAATTTTAGTAAGAATAAGTATATTCTATAACAAAACTCGTTGTAAATAGGAAGATACATCCTATAGATACCAAAGTATAAAATACATACTACATTTTCTGACGAGCTTTTGCGCCTAATATTTCAAATGAAAGGGGAACAAGTTTGCTTCGTTGCTTAATAAACCAGAAATATCTACGTTAAAACACGTCCGGACGTCAAATTATTACGATATATAAATGAATTACCGCTTCGAGAAAACGCGTTAAAACAAGTTAGAGCCACAAATTCGGATTACCGAATTATACGAAATCCGGATTACTTAGCGCTCTTCGGATTATCGGGTCTTTACTGTATATATATTAAAACAACCCTTGAGGCATGAGCGAAACACATAGTATATGTGTTTAACGTAAACATAGTAAAAAAAATAAAATATAATAAACTAGGTATATAAAAATTGAGCTCAAGACAGCGATATTAGTTTTCTTCTATCTCCTATAGAAACGGGTGTTTGCCTTTAAAAACGTCCAATTTGACCCACCCTGTACTGAGGACTTTTATAAACCAAAAATAATATTAATTAACATTGCATTTAACATGTTTAATTCAATATAAGCTTACATACGATCTTTGAAACTCTGCTTCTGGCCAGAATCGCATAGGTGAACCTTTTCAGTTGAGTGGAATTACGATTAAAACTAAAATAATGCTTTAGGAGTACAAACTGTTGAATTCGTTCCAAATGAAGTCGGAACCCATATAGTCGAAGTAACGGTCAATGGAGAAAAATTACCATCTGGGCCGCTAGTAGCGAAAGTATACGATTCTGGGTTAATCCAAGTGGCCGACGTGAGTGGCGGCGTTGTTGGACAGCCTGTACAATTTAGAGGTACGTATAGTTTTTTTTTTCATTTCTTGTCAACGATAAGACCTCAGAGCTTTAATAAAATATACAATAGTTAAATATTTGTCGAAGTACGTCTTATTGAATATCCAAGAGAAAAATTGTGCGTGGTCTTCTTGCAATGAGTATAAAATATTATTTATAACAAACATTGTTTTCTTTGAAGGTAAACAAAATTAATAAGTTAAAAATAAAAATTTTAAAAATATCTAATTAATTATACTAGGATATATTTGCATAAAATAATAATTGAAATTTTAATGCTTTAAAAATAATACATCTAATGGCTTTGAAAGTGTGCTTGATATAGCAACTTCTAAAAGTTCAAAAACGTTAGACGAGCGCAACTATTTGGAATATTAATAATCTCTGTTCTAACGGATTAGTATTTTCCGTTATTCAAAATATATTCTTATTCATTGTTATCATAATATGATCGTGACTAGATTCGTAAAAATAAAAAACGATTCAACTACCAATAGGCTAATAGATGATCATAGAAATAGAATTATATCCGAGGGGGAAACCGCTGACCTAAATTTTGTACACCAACTTCTCTTTTATGCAAAAACTTCCTCGTACATCCCTGATACTTCTTTTATATCCTTTTTACTTCCTTCTACCCCTTTTAATACTTCCTTTACATCCTCAATACTTCCTCTTACTTCCTGCTTCTCCGTATTTTCTTAATACTTCCCTTGTTCTTCTTCTTAAGGTGCCGTGCAGATTCCTGCGTAGGCGTTCATCTTTTTCTTCCTCATCAGATGGTTCTGTTAACTGCCGCGACTTGGAGTGCTTGGAAGTCCTGTATGCCTGTCCAATGACGAATATTTCTCAGCCAGGATAGCTTCCTTCGTCCTATCCCCCTTTTGCCGCCCTCTATTTTACCCTGGAGAATCAGACGCTGAAAGTGATAGCGTTCTCCACGCAGTATGTGTCCCAAATAGGCTATTTTCCTCTTCTTGATGATTTCGAAGAGTTCACGTTGTTCCAGACCAGCTCTTCTGAGAATGTCCTCATTCCTCACACGATCGACCCAGAGTCGACATTTCGAAGGCTTCAATTCGGTTTATTGTTGCTACCTTCAGTGTCCATGCTTCCACACCATATAACAAAACGGACCAGACATAGCACTTCACCATTCTGTATCTAAGGCCGAAGTTCAAATTCCTATCTGTGAGAAATCTTCGCAGTCTTAGAAAAGTAGATCTTGCTTGTTCGATCCCGCATTTGATCTCCTGATCCGGATCCCACGTTTCGTTAACCATGCATCCCAAATATTTAAATTGTGTGACCTGCTTGATGACCTCTCCATTTAAGTAAATTCTGGTGTTCGGAATATTGTTTCTGCTAACAGCCATAAATTTAGTTTTTGTAGTATTTATGTTTAAACTCAGTCTTTGACTTTCACTGTCAACCTTATTTAGAAGGATTTGGAGATCATTTGCATTGTCTGCCAATATCACTGTATCATCCTCATATCGGATATTATTAATTGGAATACCATTTATTTTCAAACCAATGGGACTATCGGAGATTGACTCAGTGAATGCTCTTTCCACATATAAATTGAACAACATTGGAGATAGAATACACCCTTGCCTTACCCCATTTTTTATTCCAAAATCTTCTGTTACTCCCACGCTATGTATACGAATTTCAGCTTTTTGGTTCCAATACAAATTACTGATGAGCCTTATATCTTTTCCATCAAGTCCCAAGTTTCTGAGGTATGATACAAGGAGGTTATGTTTAACATTATCGAACGTCTTTTCATAGTCTATAAAGCACATGAAGACATCTTTTCTCTGATCTTGGCAATTCTGTACTAAAGTTTGAAGACTGAATATGGCTTCTCTAGTACCAAAGCCGTTCTTAAATCCAAATTGACTTTCTCCACTTACTTCCTCACATTTTTTGTAGAGTCTTGTATGCAGTACCCGTAAAAAGAGCTTAAGAAAGTGGCTCATTAGACTAATAAGACGATACTCTTTACACGAAGTTGCGTTACTTGACTTGGGCAGCGTGATAAACGTAGAACGAAGCCAGTCTTCAGGGATATGACCGGTGTCATAGATGTTATTGAAAAGCTGTACTATAGTTTTTAAGTTTTGTTCATTAATTAAGTGGAACGTTTTGAATACATATCATCAGGCCCTGGAGTTTTGTCGTTTTTCATTAATCTAATCGTATGAATAATTTCACTTTCCAATATGCTTGGTCCTGATGGCATGGGAATCTCAGTTGCAGGGTTTTCTGATCTTTCGTCGTTGAAAAGATTAATGGTATAATTTCTCCAAGTTTGCAATAGTTCTTCTGTTTCCGTTCTAATTTTATTTTCGTCAGTTTTAATTAGGGTTATTGATTTATTATGGTGTAACCCAGCTATCTCTTTCACTTTCTTGTGAAGATGGAAACTGTCACCAAGGTGACTGAGATTTTCGGCCTCTATACATCTCTCCTTCAACCATGTCTTTTTTGCCGTTCTTATTTTATTACGAATTTTTCTTTGCATAGATTTATATTAGTTGTGATTATTCTGGATTTTAAATTGTCTTCGTTGTTCCATCATATTTAAAATATCTTCACTCATCCACTCGTTTTTCGCTGTTGTTCGATTAGCCGTGAGGAGGTTTTCATTTGTGTTCTTGAAAGCTTGCTTAATGCCCAGCCAATGTTTCTCAATGTCATTTGTACTGACAATACTTTCCAATTCTCTCCAAAACCAAGGTATGTAATTCAAAATATATCTCTATTTATCCACTTTAGAATCGGCTACCAAAAACAGTCAGCGTTATAAAAAAGTTCTAAATGATAGCGAAAATTTAATTGTTTACAGGCGTTCAAATAATATATCGAATAATATACAGGGTGGTCCGAATTGTATTCCGGAAACTTTGACAGCATATTCTGCAGATAAAATTAAGTAAAAAAGTTCGTATACCTGTATGCCCTAAAATGCTTAGTTAGTTTTTAATAATAATAAAACGAATACATTGAATCAAATTCTGTTCAAAAATATATTCTTTAATTACAAAATATTACTTACATAAATACAAAAATAAACTCGAATAAAAATATGTAATCAAATCAATTTTTTAACGTTTTATAAATATTTTATATTTTGACTTTGTCGTGTCTACTAATTTTAAATACATAAATCGTTTTTAAGAGTCGTTGTTAAGGAAATTTATAGGACCATAAAAACTATTTTTCGTCGACACCTAAATGGTGCAAGTACACACTCGCCGAGGTAACCCGAGGCGCGACAAAAAATTAACGATATCTACATTGTTATTGGCTAGGACCGTCTTTTTTGTCGCGCCTCGGGTCGCCTCGGCGAGTGTGTACTTCCAGCATTAGATTTTTGGCCATTTAAATGCCCCCAAATCGTGCTTTTAAAAACTCTCAGACACCAATTTTCATCCAAATATTACCGCTACTACAGAAATTATTTGGAAAAAATCTAAATAAAAATGAAACTTCTACACCCTGTATATCCGAAACTAAGTATTTTAGAACATACTTTTATACGAACTTTTTTACTTATTTTTATCTACAGAATATGCTGTCAAAGTTTCCGGAATACAGTTCGGACCACCCTGTAGGTATATAAAACTATTATATGGTCTAAAATAATTCGTTCCGAGAGTCCTAAAAGAGTTCTGGCCGTATCAGAGGCGTCGCAATCCGTAGTTTCAAGAAATTCTAGTTATTTGTTGTTTTCACATGGGAAACACTTAAACATGGGAAAGATCGATTTTCTCGAGTTTATTGAACTTTTATCGGTCGAAACACAGAAACTAAATTGCAGGGCAAAGAAACCATTAACTGTTACGAGACCAAACACGATCATGGCCTTAGGCCGTACCGTGGCATTTGATGTGATGGAGCTGTACATAATTCAAATGAAATTCGAAGAGAAAGTACCAACAAGCGCATGTTCGATTATTTCCGATTGTGCGAAAATGAGTTTTGTTTGTAATTTTTTTCGAACGTCTTTAATAGAAATCACTTTTAGTGTATATACGTCATATGATTGACATGTTATGGATATAAATTGGCCACAATATTACTTTCACATTTCATCTGTTCTATTGATAATTACAATATAGTTTTTAGCGTTGTACTATAACAACCCAGGGTCATCAACAAAGTGGAAGAGGTAATATTTTGGCCTACTGTATAAGAAACAATTTAAATTAAATAAAGGAACCTACGTTGTTTTAAAAATATTTTTATTGTGATTATCTCGGATGCGCCCGACAGAAGCAATATTTTATGTAAATGAAGCGGTTATTGTAAATCAAACGCTAAATTTGTAAACAGCTCTAATTATTTCATTAAATGAGATGAAAGGAGTGCCGTACTCTCCTGGAATTCACAAATAAAAGAACAGGACTGAAAAAACCTTGATCGCTATTCCAAAGAATCCAACTCCAACTGAACTTTAATAAAAGGGAAATAATAATACAAAAACTGTACTCATACCAAGGTTGGTAGTTTCATACATTCAAAATATGCCACATTTATTGCATTCAAAACGGAAGATGTTTTTGTTAGTTTAACGGGTCACCACCCGTAGGTACTAAGGCCCGGTTGCGGAGCTCGAAGCTAAAGCTGAAGTTTTGGTGCAAATATTTTTAGATTATAAGTTATTCTATTTATTGTTTTTCGTTGCCGTTTTGCAAGCTAAGATATTCGCTCATGCCTGGTCGAAAAATGTCAGCAAACACAACAAGGCCCTTATTCTCACACTGAACCATAAACATCGGCACGAATGGAGTAAACGATTCTATTTAGATTACTTTTAAACTGAAATTATTCACAGCATAATCGGTTCCATTAAAAACATACACTTGTTATGTGATATAATTCTCAGATGAAATAAATAAGTAAAACTTTAGCACAGAATATTACAACAGAAAAATAAGCTATATGCTTTATTTACAACCACATATTTGTAATACTGACATTACTGACTTTTAAAAAATTTGAAAATGTCAAATTATCTACATTTCTTCCCTTTTCCATTTTCCTAACTCATTTCCCTCATCCATTTCCCTCACCCATTTTCCTCAATCGGTTTTTCTTATTTCTCGCCTCATTTAATTAAGCAAAATATTCTTGTAATATCTTTATTAAATACTTATCTAACATCAACAAAAATAAACAAGAAGATTAACAATAATAATTGAAGATTTTAATACATTTATTTGTTGAAATGGTCTAATGGTGTTAATGGTCAAAAGAGTAGAGGGAAAAGGCTTTTTCTGCCTTACCATGTCGCTATAATATGCCATCAAGATGGTCTCTGAAGCAATATTCTTAGCATTTCTTTCGGCACACCATTTTTCGAATACTTTCAATGCTATTTCATATCGCCCTCTACTTTTCTCTGGAAGTAAACTGGCTTCTGCTCTTTTTGCAGCTTCTGTAAGTTCTGGTGGAGTACCAATATTAAAGTAGTCTTCATTATCAGAACTTTCCGACAACATTCTGGCTTTCTATGTTATTATTATGACGGGTGACAGATATAATATCAGAGACATTCTCCATCCCCACATAAGACTATGGCGAGCAGCTGTTGGGGATGCTTTCGTTCTTGTGGAAGATAACGCCCGACGTCATAGCACCAGAGCTGTAAATGAGTATCTTGAAACTGAAGGGATCAGTGGTTTGTACTAGCTTTCTCTATCTCCAGATATGAACCCCACAGTTGTAGGGAGTTAATCACTGCGACCTTACAGATTTAGTGTGTGTTCTCCTTTCTGGAGTTATAACGAGCTATAACTCATCATACAGTCTCATGGCTTTAACAAAAGCCAGTATCGGAGATGGCTCTACAGAGGCCAGCTCTCCTTCCTCGACATCAGCCGTACCGAAGTACATGGCACGAACGGTCGTCGTTTCGGCGCACTCAGTGATAAGGTGTTATGGTGTTTCCCCATTTTCCCCACAGAATCTGCATTTGCCGTTGTTTGTCAGCTTCAGCCTACTGAGGTGTTCGTTGAAGAGATAAGTGTCCTGTTAGAAACCCCGTAACAATCTGAAGATTGTTTTTACTTTAATCAAGGAAAATCTTTGATTTTTCTCGGTCGTGAATTCTGAGGGACTTTTTCGAGTGTCTAGACCGTTGGAGGTCTCCCATTCCAGATTACGAATGTAGTCTTCCAGGTTCTTCAGTTCCGCTAATAGTTGGTTTCCGCTTGGAAAACAGAACGGTTCTGGTGCAGTTAGTGGAGTGTTCACTCCTTTTCTAGATCATTTGCGCTTTTTTATTACTTTCTGTTTCTTGGTGAGCGGCCATCCACTGTAAGAGGACTTTATTTTCTTTGCCTAATTTGTTCAGCTTCTCTAGGCATTCTTTGACCAACTTCGAATTGATGGTTACTGAGTTGATCGCGTTTAGTGCTGCTTGACTATAAGATAAGAGGGCTATTTCCTGTTTTCGATAGTTTCTATCTAAGATAAATTGTACGCATCTTTCGATAGCGTAGATTTCTGCCTGAAGGATGCTGGGGTAGGTGCCCATTGATTCGGAGTATTTAGTTTTCGGCCCAAATACTCCAACCCCTGTCCCTGCTTTGGTTTTGGAAGCATCAGTATACCAAGTTATGGTATGGTCTTTTACATGCTGAGTAAACGTTTCTCCCTTCCAATCCTTTTTATGACCCTATAGTTGTAAACCTTACATCCTGACTACTTTTTATTTACCGAGATATTATCAAACTAATGTTTATTTATATTTTTTTGATTGCTTTATGTTAATATTAGTTTAATTATAGTGATCTACTTCTAATGGTACTTTCAGCCTTACTTAGCTGGCAAAAGATTTTTTTGCGATAAACGAACCATGATAATTGGCCCAAGCCCACCGTTCGAAACATCTTAATGACTCTATGCGAGAACTTATTATTTTAGTTCATGACAGTTACTTCTAGACATTGTTAGCTTTTTCATCTAGTAACAAGTGATTTTAGCCTGTTTTTTGTTTATTTTTGTTTTGAGGAAAGTACAATTAAAAAGGTATGTAAGTGAGGTATATCTAGTAATTTTTGAATTGTCGACGAATTCTTATTTCTAATGTTTTTAGATTTTTTTATCAATATATATCGACTATGTTGTTTGTGAACTTTCAATTTTTAGCGTTTTTTTTTCATGTGAAAATAATGGCGATATTTTAATTCTTTTAAATTTCGTCTCTTCATTTATTAGATGTACTGTATCTATCGGGTGTTGCATCGTCGGACGGGACATAGGAAATCCCATGTAAATTTTAATGGGGTCAATTATTGGCTTTCCTAATTATTTTAGAGAATAATTCTATTTAGGTTTATTGAAGAGCACTAAAACCCACATTTCTAAAGAATAACTTTAGATATTTTTGATTAGCTTGTTTACGAGTTATCGCCGATTTCTTTTTAAATATTTCTCCTTTCTTATGGCCCTGTATTTACTTATGAGCACCAGTCAAGGTAAAAGATAACTGTCAAATGAAGTTGTCATTTCAGAAATTTACCTATTTAGTGCTTTATTATTATTGAAAACTCATTCCTACATCGGAAATCTTAAAGATGTATTTATAAATACAAATTAATATGAATTAAAGTAAAATAAAGTAATTAATTACAAAGTTAATTAAAGTATTATTACAATATTCAATAACTTATTAATTTAGGTACTATTAAATGACAACTTCATTTGACAGTTATCTTTTACCTTGACTGGTGCTCATATGTAAATACAGGGCCATAAGAAAGGAGAAATATCAACAAAAAAATCGGCGATAACTCGTAAACGGGCTAATCAAAAATATCTAAAGTTATTCTTTTGAATGTGGGTTTTAGTGCTCTTCAATAAACCTAAATAGAATTATTCTCTAAAATAATTAGGGAAGCCAATAACTGACCCCATTAAAATTTACATGGGATTTTCTATGTCCCGCTCGACGATGAACCCGGTATAGATGTGATACGATATTATGTGGAAATGAATAATTACAACGGAAATGTAATTAGTTATTTCAGATGCATTATTATTACTGTTTAAATATCTGTTACGGTTTACTATATCGTCGCGATTAGCAAGAACGTCGTAACTACAATCGGTCAAAATTGTCCAAGATGTTAATGGAATTTCGAACTTATTGATGTGAAAAAAAAACGATTGTGGCGTTTTTGTTAATCACGGCAGTGTACCTAAGTGCGACATATCTGAATGCTAAAAAAGTGTCGACAGGTTCACTATGTACGCGGATATGGATTATTACTGGAATAATGGTTATTAAAAAAACCTGTGCGCCACTGATTTTTCCTTTTCTTAACACAGTTGTGTAATCCGTTTAATGCCGATTAAAAGTTGTCTCTTGATATTTTGTCGATTTCAGTCTCATTGATGAACAAAACATCAAGAATCAAGATACATATTTTAATCGGCATTAAACGGCTTACACAATTGTGATAACAAGAAAAAAATCAGTGGCGCCCATGTTTTTTTAGACAAATATTCCAGTGATAACCCATATGCACGTCCCTGGTGAATCTGTGGACATTTTTTTAGTACTATAATATGTAACACTTATAGTAACTATTACTCTCAACATTTGATTCGAATTGCTAAAAGCACTTAGAAGAAAATTATAATAAATCGAAAAAAAATTAAGATTAACCTCCTGTTGCTACGAAACAAAGCAGAATGAAAACTATGTTGATATAAAATGAATCTTCTCAAACTTTAATTACCTAATGCTCGAGGTCTATATCATTAATATTTATCAAAACTATTCATTGGAATATTAACGTAAGAATTAATACAAAAATCTCGTTTAAAATCATAATTAAAGGTAAATTTAATTTCAATATAACAGAAAAAAGAAAACGTTAATATTTCTTAAATATCCTATTACATTTAACTATTAATCAATATTTCTTTTTAGTTGACGCCAGTCAAGCCGGAGAAGGTCAACTCGAAATATCCATAAACGAAGGCGAAGTACCGAACCACGTCCAGGTAGTGGGCGGTGGGCGTTGCCTAGTTTCCTTCACGCCCGACCAGGCCAAACCGCACCTCATCGACATCAAGTTCAATGGCGAGACGGTGCGCGGCTGCCCGTTCGTCTGCGCAGTAGCGGACACTAGTCGCGTCACTCTAAGCCTCGCCCACCTCGAACTGGTCCCGGTAAATCAGCCCAGCTCGTTCCACATGGGCGTGGCGGGAGGCGGGGCGGCCGAACTGGCCGTAGCCGTTCGCGGACCCGTGGGCGAGTTACCGGTCAAGGTCACGGGCGACATTCATTCGGGCTTCACGGCTGAGTTTACGCCCGCGCAGGTCGGCGCGCATCAGATTAGCGTGGATTACAATGGAAGACCAGTGCAGGGAACGCCTTTTGTGGCCAAGGCCTTCGATTCGAATAAGGTGAATTTTGTGGAGATGTTGGGGCAACTTTGCGGAGTTGTTTTTTTTTAATTAAAAGTTTTTCGTATTCCATGAAATTAATAATTTCGTAAATAAATAACAAAGAATCTTTATAAGGTAAAATACTTAAAATTCTATTATATTATGTATGTACATTTTCGATAATTAAAACAATCAACTTTTATTTGTGAGAAACTTGTGAAGAATTATACCGTAATGATCGAAAAAACGGCGTCAAAGACGGTTGGGAAATGAAAATAGGTGGCGATTTTGGCGAGGTCAATTTCTAGATTTTATTTACTGAAAATTTGCATAAATCTTGTCAAAAATTAACAGAACGTTTCCAGACACACAAATCTATTTCCAAAAAAATATTTTTTATCGAATTTTAAACTACACCATTTAAAAATCATTTTGCTCAATATAAAAATAAAATACCACCTTCTTAAGGCCAACTGGCAGTAAGCGCTATTAAAAATAAAGAAGAGTACGGACCAAGTAAATGACGTCTTGACCTTGCCAAAATTATCATTAATTTTTGATTCCTTAGCCGTCTTATATTATATTTTAACTGAAATTTAAACTTTCTTATCAGCAAGCGTTCAAGGCTATTTTGTTGACCATAAATTTAATTCCGGAATCATTTCATGAATATTTTTTTTTGGTATTGTATTATTAATAGAAACATTAGATTTGTGATATTAACAGGGTGGTCCGAACTGTAATCCGGAAACTTCGGCAGAATATTCTACAGATAAAAATAAGTAGAAAAGTTCAGGGATATAGGGTGTAGAAGTTTTATTTTTATTTGTATTTTTTTCAAATAATTTCTGAAATAACATTACTATTTGGATAAAAATTGGTGCCTGAGATAATTTTCACATGAGAAATATGATTTTGAGATCAATATGACTTCTATTTGTAGAGGGCGCCACCTACATATTTTTTTACTGGTTTGAAGAGTAATATTTTTTTGTCCTTACTTGTATAAAACTACCGAGTAAAAACTTTACATTTAAGACGTTTTTTATGTAAAAAGTGTCCAAATTTATCATTTCAGTCAATAAATATTTTCACAACATGTTTTTGTCAGTAATGACATGTATTAACTACTTCCATTCTAAGTATCTTGAAAACGGTTGCTCGTAACCATTTTTATCAAGAGAATTTTTTTTGCGTAAAAAAATAAGGGAATGTATATAGTACACCCAGTACTTTTATACAGGTACGGATGTAAATTTATTACTCTTCAAAACAGTTAAAACACATATAGGTAGTACCCTTTACAAATAGGAGTCATATTATTGACATCAAGATCAAATTTCTCATGTCAAAAAACTCCCAGACAACAATTTTCATCCAAATATTGACGTTACTTCAGAAATTATTTGGAAAAAATCGAAATGAAAATGAAACTTTTACACCCTGTATCTCCGAAACTAAGCATTTTAGGACATACATTTATACGAACTTTTTTATTTATTTTTATCTGCAGAATATGCTGCCGAAGTTTCCGGAATACAGTTCGGATCACTCTGTATAGAAAGAATTAAGACTGCAATAGTTGTTTTTTCATAAAAAAATATTTATTATTTCTACAAATTCATATTCTAATTATTAAAGTTCAGAAGAATAATTTTGAGTGTTTATATAAAGTAATTTGAAATTTTTATTGAAATTTTATTTTCATAACCGTTTATGATATGATTCTCTCTTCTTATTATCTGTAATTTCTTTGGTTTGGTTGATACATATTATTTATATATAAGTATCGTTATAATATTTTTTCAATAAATTAAAGAAATGTTTCGGTTTTCAAAAATTGCAGCTTGATAAATAAGAAAGCCAAAGAAAGGCACCAATTTAAAAAAAAAAGAATTTTATTAAAAACTATCCTATAGTTGAACGAAATGAAGTAATAAATAACTAAAATTAATTTAATGGAATATGGATAAAAATTCAAAATATCTTTTTAAAGCTAACAAAAGACACTGTATGGCACTGAGAACGATTTGTTAAAGAAGACAAATCAAAATTAGATAAAGGTATTACAGAGAAATATATAACTAATCTTATATTTTAAAACTGATTGTTCAGGTTACTATAGGTAATATAAAATGTATTTTAATTTTTACCTTTTTTATAATTATGTAGATTTATACTACTAATTTTATTAAGCAAACTTTATAAATACCATCTAATGAATCTAATAAATTTCAACAATATTAGTTTGAAAATAATATCTATATTGTTCTGGTGTGTTTATTACTGGAAAAAAATTTGGCCACTGAAATAGAAATATAAAAAAATAAAAGTTTATAATAAGTAAAATTTGTTAGAATTCAAATAGAAGCAAGCTTGTACACGAGCTTCCATCCAAAAACGGGCCACCCTGTACATTATATTCTTTTGCTTAAACGTCTAAAATGTCTTGTTTACAATATTTGTTTAAAAATGCCATACCGTTCTTTATATCACTGTATAACAACCCAATACATCCCTTCAATATTTACCTATATATTTATATTTGCAAATAGGTTACAGTAGGCACAGTAGCTCGCGGTACTGTCGGCAGACCTGTTACCTTTTCAGTAGACGCGAGCGAAGCTGGAGAGGGCAACTTGGAAATAACTATTTCGGCCCGCGGCTTGAACATTCCCACTCAAGTGCACCCTCAGGGCAATGCCAGATTTGCTGTTAGTTTTGTGCCGGCCGAAGCTTGCGACCACGTGGTCAATGTGGCCTTTAATAAAAGACCGGTTAGTTGATCATAGAGTTTAAATGTCTTTTTCTCTGCTTTGATTTATACACTGTGTCAATTTTAAAACTTCCCACCCTTAATATCTTTCTTGCAGTTAAAAATATGAAAAATCTGAAAGACACGTCATTTTTATTTGTGAGGGGTCACTTTAAATGAATATTTTTAGCCTTTTTCTTTCAACCCCCTAGGAGGGGTAGATGTCACCCTCACAATCTTAAATGGGAATGGGGGTCAACTGGCACATCGTTTTAAAGGGCGTTTAATTCTCTTTTTAGTGGTATCCTACTTCTTTTTCAAAGGTTTCCGAATAATCGTGTTTCGATTGAGATTTTGGTTTTCAGGCTAGAGTGTGTTTATACAAAAATGATTGCAATGGATCTCCTTGTAGTACAAATGATTAGAATAAGAGGTTACACCACTTACGCTCTATCTTGTAAGTTGTTCAAAATGTTGTCCATTTTCCTGTAAACAATAATAGAGTCTGTTTTCAAACTCCTACCTGACATTTCGGTAAACTTCACCGGGAATTGACCGATATTTTGCTGTAATTCGCCTTCTAAGATCATCAATATCAGTAGGTTGTGTTTTATAAACTTTGGGGTGTTAAATCCGGTAATCTTGGAAGCCATTCAATTGGTCCACTTCGGCCAATCCAGGTACCCGGAAATCTCTCGCTTAACCACTGTCGGACCGGAAGAAAATGAGGTGGAGTACCGTCCTTCTGGAATGTTAACAAATCCTCCTGTAAAACTGGATTACCCTCTGCATTAATTTGAGTTTCTAGCTCTTGGGTGATAAAAGGATCAATAGTCGCTTGAAGCATATTAAGATGCAGATCACCTGTCAAGTTTCTTTCAATAAATAAAGGACCAATTCATTCAGGCATTTCCAAAAACACAAAAAATATGAGGGTTTGAGATAATTTGAGAAAAGAAACGTTAATGGTTATGATGTTTTCTGTTTATTAGTATTTCGACCCCCTAGAAAAATGGCTACGTCCATGTTACCACCTAATCTTCTAATCATTTGTACTACAAGGAGACCCATGCAATAATTTTTGTGTAAACACTAGCCTGAAAATCAAAATCTCAATGCAGGCATATTTAATTGATTCTGCAACTTTGGAACGCGATTATTCGGAAACTCTGGACAAAAAGCAACAAAGTATGATACCACTGAAAAGAGAATTAAGAGCCCATTAAAACGATGTGCCACTTGACCCCCATTCCCATTTAAGATTGTAACGGTGACATCTACCCCTTCTAGGGGGTTGAAAGAAAAAGGCTAAAAATATTTATTTAAAGTGTCCCCGTTACAAATAAAATTGACGTGTCTCCGATTTTTCATATTTTTAACTGTAAGAAAGATATTAAGGGTGGGAAGTTTTAAAATTGACACAGTGCATACTTATATATTTAAGAAATCTCTAAAAAAATTGGACAGTATACAGGGCGATTCACGGCCATGGTACGTTAGACGTTTTTGGAGAACCAGTGATAGGATTTTTTTTGAAAATTTAGATCTATGCATAAAGGCACCTGCTCTATATGTCTAATTTATTTTCAGCATTACAACTTCATACTAAAAGTGATAGGATCTTTGTCATTTTAAATGGGACACCTGGTATATTTTTATATCTCATAATTTTTCTATTATACTAACCTATATCTATCTCTATTTGACAAAAACATGATCTTCAATAGCGTTGGTTAATTCATAAACTCGGCATATTGAAAGCTGAAATTTGGTTTACTGGATCTGTTGTTATTTGGATCTGTCTAAATCTACCGATTGCATATCAAACAGGGAGATTAAAAAATATTTCCGTTTATTATAGAATCGTTCAAATCATTGTTATTTTAAATTTAGGCCTATGTATATTAAAAATCGAAATATAAACAAAATTGTTTTTCGAATGTAATACCACAAGATGTTTCGGGATAACCGAATATTACTTTTACCTGACTCGAAATGCGTTACCCAGCAGCACTACGACTCTGAAGGAGTGGTAGAGTTGCCGGTGTCGCATTGAGTGTCAGGCAAAAGTATTAGGTAATCCCGAAACATCGAGTTATTCAAAAGATTATAAAACGAAATAAAGTACATATATCCTTCTTGTCTTAAACATATTTTTATTATAATAATTATTATTAATAACAAACCAAATCTTTCTTTTGCCATTTTGTAATAAGAATTGACGGGATATTTTGTGGAACTAACAGAAATGACTTCTGAATTTATACTTAAAAAAATGACAATTACAATATGGCCACCAAGCGATAATCACTTATTAATCACATCCTTCTATATAGGAAAAAAATACATAGTTGTATAATCACCAATATATCATGTTCATATATCTGAACCTTCTGGTTTGTTCAGTAAAGTCATTTAAAAGATAATCATTCTATTGTAATTGTTTCGTTTAAAGAAAATTGTTACCATTACAACTATTCAAACTTTATATGTATCACTATTCTTGCTAAATTTCTAAAATTATCATATTAACGAAATTCTTGAAATGAAACTATAATAGAATTATTAATTTTTATATAGATCTACTTATAAAACCGAAAGGTTTAAGTACAGGAACAAGATATATCGTTGAAAAGTAATTTTATTAGTCTTTTGATTTTTAAAAAATAAATATAGGGTTGAATTTAAAATAACAAAGATTTGGCCAATTTTATAACAAACCGAATTAAATATTTTTTGCTCTTCCTGTGTAATATCCAATCAGTTAATTTAGACAGATCGAATATGTCGACTTTCATTCACTTATAACCCAAATTTCAACTTTTAAAATGTTCAATTCATGATTTTATCAACGCTTATTCAATATCATGTATTTGCCAATTTTACACATGTTTTATTTTTTATCTCAAAAACTATTAGAGATAGGTATAGATTAGTATAATAGAAAAATTATGAGATAGGAAAATAGTTTTTAAAAATGTAATAATATACTAGGAGTTATATTTTAAATAAGAAAGATGCTACCACTTTTCGAATGATGCGGCAACACGTAAAGCTGAAAATATTTTAGAAAGATGGAGCAGTAAGTATAAGTTGCCTTTAAGTAAAAATACAAATTTTCACTAGGAATACCACTAGAGGTCAAATTATTTCCGGAAACTTTTTTGAGCTCATAATTTTCTAAAAATATTCATTTAATTTGACATCGTATGGTATTCGGTAAGAAAATTCCACACCAAATTGTGTTTGAAAATCAAATAATAGCCTATAAACTGTTGATTTTTACTGATTGTAGTAGCTCAAAAGTGCCATTTTAGGACCTAAAATATTATATTCTTTCATTTTATAGTTACTTAGGCAACAAGTGGTAGAAAATCATAATTTAAAAGGTTTTTCGGAACGCTGCATGAACAGATTTACAGCGCGTCACAGTTTTGGCAGCAATTTAGACCTTAAATTGTTGACTTCTACTCGTTTTAGTTGCACGAAAATACCATCTCAAGACACAACACAATATATTCTTTAATTTTACATAAGTTTTGAGTAACTACAAGTGGTAGAAAATTACTTTTTTGCATTTTTATTAACTTTTCATAAACGCTTTACTGGTATGGAATTCATAACCAGCGCGCAGCGTCAGCAAGCGTCAATCATAAAAGGCTGCGATCATCGTATATCGTATTTTGACAGTTCAAAATATCAGAAAAACTCGCGTTTTGTTGTAATAAAGAATATTGTGCAGCTTGAAAAACTAACCAAATTCTTTGTTTTAAAAATGAATCGGTTTGAAAATCATACTACATGCAAAATATGCGAGAAATTGTCTGATGTAATGATCAATCATCGTGCGATGACTTATTTACCAGCATTAATAGAGGATTGTGGCTCCTACTTGAAGAAAGAAAATTTGTTTCCAATTGTTCACGAATATTTGCATCTAAACTACTCAAAATTCAGAGTGCTAAATGGAAAAAAGGTGAATAAAATAGTGTCTAAATATTATATATATTTCATTAGACATAGACATTTAATTCAGTCCATTCCAAGTCCTACATTTTCGCGATTAAGAAGAAAGGAGGTGTCCAAAGAATATAGAAATCATCTCAGCTTTTTAATTGAAATGTATCAAAATTATCATGTAAACAAATAAAAACCAGACTCTCAAAAAGATAGTCTGTCATTATAAACGTCAAAAAATTTCCAGTATAATTCGCTGTTGGGTACCCACAAGGAAAAATTTTTCACTAAAATTTATCCGTTGCCATGGTGATTTGTCAAAAAAACACGTTTTGATTGGTTAAAAATTACAGGTGTGGAATTTTCACTAGTAATACCACTAGAGGTCAAATTATTTCCGGAAATATTCATGAGGGAGAAAAGATGTCCGGATTTAATTTGACCTCGTGTGGTATTCGGTAAGAAAAGTTCACACCAAATTGTGTTTGAAAATCAAATAATTAAAATGTATTTTTCGATTTTTAGTCGAATTGATTATTTAGTTACTATGACAACTAAGTGACACCCAAACCTAAAAACTATTTCAGTTTTAAAGCTGTTAAGCGGCGCGGCTTAAAAAAAATGTTTCGCTTCAGTCATGAAAGTAAAGAAAATATTCGCCATAAGATTAAGCAGTTGACACCCGCGAATACTAGGAAATCGAAGTCAAGCGTATGGAAGCAGTTTACAAACTTTCACCTCAGTTTTGTAATTGAAATGTATCAAAATTATCATGTAAACAAATAAAAACCAGACTCTCAAAAAGATATTGTCATTATAAACGTCAAAAAATTTCCAGTATAATTCGGTGTTGGGTGCCCACAAGGAAAAAAAAATCACTAAAATTTATCCGTTGTCATGGTGATTTGTCAAAAAACACGTTTTGATTGGTTAAAAATTACAGGTGTGGAATTTTCACTAAAATTTATCCGTTGCCATGGTGATTTGCCAAAAAAACACGTTTTGATTGGTTAAAAATTACAGGTGAGGAATTTTCAAAAAAAATTCTAGTACCGGTTCTCCATAAACTTCTAACGTGCCATCGCCGTGAATCGCCCTATATTTTAACGTTAATTATTAGGTTGTCGGATGTCCGTTAATCGTGTCAGTGGGCGCCAGTGGTACTGGACCAAGCGTTACCTTGCCCGGTCCTGGCCCAGTACACAGACCTAGTACCCTCCTGATAAATCACCCAGGACGGTTAGAGGACATAGAAGTTAATGTTGAGGGTGAGCCACTTGTTTATTAAATGCATTTTGTTGCGGTATATAGAACGGTGTTTGATTGGTGGGACGCAATCGGTGACAAATGGGATTTGGAGTAATGTCCTACAATAAGTTTGAATAAAAGTTGAACTCGTATCATGAATTTATAGTTTTATTTTAGATTACATTATTACAGAGATTTGTAATAATAATTTTAATATACTATTTTTTGAATAAATAAGAATTAGAGTACAAAAAAAATTAATTTTGCTGATAAACAGGGTGGCGCCTCTCCTACGCCGCGGAGGCTCCAAGGAGAACGACAGTTTGTATTGAAATGAAATTTTGTGAGCATATGTAGGTTAATTCAGAGCACTTTTTTAAAATATAGAGAGTTCTACAGGGTGTCTCCAAAACAGTTACACATCAAACTTGTGTTTTTTGTAATGGAACACCCAATATATTAATTGATTTTCGAATTCTAGGAAAAAAATAAAGGTGAGTTTTATTAAAGAAGCATATGCCTAAAATGTAAGGATTTTAACATATTTCACATTTTGTGAAAATGAAAAATAAAATTTAAAATTCAATAACAGCTACGAGTATATAAATTGTAATTTACCCTGTATAGCCTGATATTTAATTACAATAACCATTGTATGTTACAACCAAATTCAAATTTGACTCGAAAAGTTATACAGGGTGAGACAAAGCTAATATTGAACATTGGTTACTTTTAAAAAGCAAGTTATTCCTTTATTTTAAATGGAACACCCATATTATTCCCGTGTTCAATGGAGAATTCATATATCTTCTAAATATTATTGAAATGAACAAAATTCTTACAGCTTTAGTGTATATTAATAAATAATATTTTCTTGCCTTTAGCTGTGTATTTTTTCTAATTTCGAAAAATCGAAAGTAGAGAAAAAAGGTGGGCTGTGATATGTATCGGTGAGAACCAGCCTCTGGACAGCCCACCTGATGAAGGGTAGGCCCAGAAACCGGTTGTGGGAGTGGAGCTTGGTTCCCCCCTTTACGACAAGCAAAACAATTTTCTTTTTACTTTTTTTTCTCTACTTTCGATTTTGCGAAATTAGAAAAAAATACACAGCTAAAGGGCAAGAAAATATTATTTACTAAATATTATTAAGATATTTTCATTTTTATGATTTTGCGTCAGTAGATCTTTATTATTTGAAAAAATCTAGAATGCCTGTGTTAATTTAACAAAAATTGAAGGATATAGGGTCAAATATTGTAATAAAAAGATACACGTTTAAAACATATTTTAATTATCACAGAATTAAAACTAGATATAAATATATAATTATGTAACAAAAATTAGCTAGACGAAATCAAATGATCAAAACGCTTCATTTCCTGTTTACTACATAAAATGATTTTCTTTTCAAAAGATATTTTCACGTTAAAGTTAAAAGGCATACGTGAAGCCCTATTTTGAAAAACAGCCACAATAATTTCTCTCATGTTGTCGTCGCGCGTCGTTGTCGACAATAGTTGGTCGAGACTTATAAACACCTGTCTATAACAAACATATCCATATAAAAATGCCCAGACTAGACAAAATCAGGAGCATTTAAGTATCCGATTAATTGGTGAATGCACACTGTATTTACCTACTAATAGAATCATATCAATGCCCTTTGATGTAAGATAAGATTCCATTTTCGGAAAATTTCTGAGATTTTTTTTTGTTTCATCTGACAGAAAATGATAACTAGTTGCTAAAGCTGAACTAATTAGACAGCTATGTTGAAGTAACGCCAGACATATCACAGCCACCCCCCTAGATTTTATCAAATAATAAATATCTACTCACACTAAATCATAAAAATGGGAATATCTAAGAAAATCTTTGTTTGAGGGGCAGACACCCTTATAGTATTTTGAAGAGATATGAATTTCCCATTGAATATCAGAATAATATACTGGGTGTTCCATTTAAACTAAAGGAGTAACTTGCTTTTAAAGGTGTTCAACATTAATTTTGCCTCACCCCGTATAACTTTTTGGGACAGGTTTTGATTTGATTTAAAGTACAATAGTTATTTTAACTACATAATATTAGACTGTACCTGGTAAATTCCAAATTAGGTAGCTTTGATTGAAATTTCAAAATTGTTCTTTATTTTTAGAATATGTTAAATAAGTCAAAAACCTTACATTTCAGTCATATACTTCCTTAATAAAACTCACCTTTATTTTTCTCCTAGAATCCAAAAATCAATTAATTATACGGTGTTCCTTTACAAAAAACACAACTTTGATGTGTAACTTTTTTTGGGGACAACCTGTAGAACTCTCTATATTTTTAAAAAGTGCTCTGAATTAACCTACATATGCTCACAAAACTTCAGTTCAATATAAACAGTCGTTCTACTTGGAGCGGCGTATGAGAGGCGCCACCCTGTATAAAGCTAGTTAATATTCCCAATTTCCAAAACTCGCTGGTTAATGCTTAATTATGTCGCTGAAGTTCATACTTCTAGACCAAACAATACCGAATTTTTATACAAATATTTACCCTTAATTTCACCCCTTTAAGAGTTGAATTTTAAGAAATTGCTTCTTAGTGCTCAGTTATATTACTTAAGAAACATTTCTTAAAAAATTCATATTCCTAGAAAATATTTTTAAAATTTAATTTTAACATTTACCCCTAATTTTATCCTTTTAGCGGATACAATTTTCAAGAATCCCTTCTATTTACTTAAGGAACCCTTTGGCATAATTTCATACTACTAAAACACATTTCCAAAATTTTTTATACGAACTTTCACCCCTAATTTCACCCTAAGAGGGGATGAATTGTTAAGAATCATTTCTTGGTGCCGATTTAGGGCACTTAAGAAGACTCTGAGCGAAATTTCGTACTGCTAGAATTGATTTTAATAACATTTTTGTAAACCATCTTTATTCCACCCCCTTAGGGTATGAAGTTTTAAAAATCTCTTCTTCGTGATTAATTCCGTTACTTAAGAAAACTCTTTGCAAAATTTCATACTCCTAGAATAGATTTTAACAAAATTTTACATAATCTTTCACCCCCTTTAGGGGCTGAAATTGAAGAGCTGAAACCAATTAGGCTGTGCGTTCATACCTAAAATTCAAGACGCGTTTCTATGGTAATATAATTTAGTTTTCATTCTTTGATAGATTATTATTGATTTCTTCTTGTAAAGACAATCCGTGGACATACTGTATGTAGAAAAAAATATAATAATTTATATCGAGATTTTACTCAAACTTATGTAGGATTCATGCATGTAAATAAGCTGTTTTCAAGACTATTTTATATTTTATGCATTTGCTTTGTATAAAATCGCTGCTTTCCGTTTATTGTATACATTTAAACTAAACATATTTCTTATTTTAATTTAATCGCAAGTCCTTTGCTTACTTGAAGATGAAAGAAGCATGTTTGAATTGGTTTTGTTGATGATGTGATTATATTTGTTTGTTACTAACCCATAAATATATTTATTTAGCTTTGTTTTTATTAACTTTATGATGTAAGTTGTACATGTTGCTTTTATATGTTTAATTTGTAATAAACAATTTTCGAAATATTATCTAAGTGTAAGTTTTTATTATATGTGCCCGAATAAAAGAATAAAATGAAATAAATTATGCCTGACTTTCTCCTTTCGTGTAGTTTTTCTTTCTGTTTTCTTTTCTATCATGCACCTCTGTTTTTCATTTTACAGGTCACCACCGATATGTGTACTGAGAAATTCCTGACTGTCCCACCTTATTTCCTTTTCTAACAGACATACTAAGACTTACTAACAAATCCTCTTACACTCTTATAGAAAAAAATAATAAATTAAAATCCTACAGATGAATAAAAAATATTGAGAATGTTTATTTATTAATGTTTTCTTTTCTAATACCCGATAAAATAAAAATAAAAAAAAAACGTTTCATTTATAATTTAAATCAAAATAAGTAAAACTAGTACCTTTTACATACTTTTGCATGCTTTACATAGCGTATGATTGAAAGTAAGTGACTTTACATTAGACAAGAAATAACATTTTTGTTCGAGGTTTACTATTGCTATCGCTGCGGTCTTTGACAGTGACACTGACATCCCGTTCTTGATATAATTGATGTCCTTCTAATAGTCTAAGAGCTAGCAACGTTTTCGAGAAAGTATTTTAAGACGTCTGGTTCTGATATATCTTTTACTATGGTCTCTGGAACAGCATGCGGCCCGTCTGGCTGCCGATACCCGTTGCGTTCACTACTGCCTATCGGAAGAAGATCCTATATTTTTTTTAAATTTAGTCCTATAAATTCTAGTATTGAATATAAATCGAACATGTCTCCATAGCGCAGTGCGTAGAGTTTCCGACTACGAACCGATGATTCAGAGTTCGAATCCGGGTTAGGGCAAATTTTTATTTATTTTATTTTCGTTTATATTCTGATAGTAAAGTATTAAATAATTCTGGCGATTAAACAAAAACAAATATTTAATACTTTACTATCAGACTATAAACGAAAATAAAATAAAAATGTCTTTGTCCTGACCCGGATTCGAACTCTGAACCTCGCTCGTGGTCGGAAACACTATGCACTGCGCTATGGAGACATGTTCGATTTATATGCAATACTAGAATTTAAAGGACTAATAAAAATATAGGATCCTCTTTCAATGCGTAGTAGGGAACGCAACGTTTACCGGCCGGCAGCCAGACGGGCCGCATGCTGTTTTAGAGAGCATAGTAAAAGATATATCAAAGAGCCAGACGTCTTAAAATACTTGTTTTTCCGACGTTGCTAGCTCTCGTACTATAAAGCCTAGTTTTCATACATCAGAATTTCGGACGTTTTCTACTAGAGATATTTTATTTTCTTGTACCGGGTGTTCCTTAATGACATGCTAATATTTAAGGGCGTGATTCTTATTGGATCTATTCTAGGAGAAAAACTTCATATGAATTATGTCCTAAACATCTTAATTTCTGAGATACAGGGTGGTAATTCAAAAAAAACTTTTTTTTATTATAACTCTGATTTAATTGCAGATATCGTTATGAAACTTCATATACACATACTTTTTGGTGCACAAAGAATTTTATCTATTTCAACCAGTTCCGTCCATACGGGTTTTACATTGAATATCAACGAAACACTTTTTTTGTATATCAAAATAAGCATTTTGATGTATGGAAGACGTGTATTTTAATACCATCAGAGATATACAGGGTGGTCCGAACTGTATTCCGGAAACTTCGGCAGCATATTTTCCTGATAAAAATAAGTAAAAAAGTTTATATAAATGTATGTCCTAAAATGCTTAGTTTCGGAGATACAGGGTGTAGAAGTTTCATTTTTATTTCAATTTTTTCCAAATAATTTCTGAAGTAACGGCAATATTTGGATGAAAATTGGTGTCTGAGAGTTTTTTGATATGAGAAATCTGATTTTGATGTCAACATGACTTCTATTTGTAGGGGGCGCCACCTGCATGTGTTTTAACTGCTTTGAAGAGTAATATCTTTTTGTCCGTACCTGTATAAAACTACTAAGTGAAAAAATATACATTTCCGTGACTTTCTACGTAAAATATGTCTCTTGGTAAAAATCGCTACAAGCTACCGTTCACAAGATATTTACAATGGAAATAGTCAATACATGTCATTATTGACTAAAAATAAACATGTTGAATAGATAGTTATTTGACTGAAATGAGAAATTTGGGGACTTTTTTTAAACTAATCCTAAATTTTTCCTAGAAAAAATGATGATAAAACAGTTTCTGTTGAACTTTTGACACAAAAATATTTCAAATTTGTGATTTTAGTCTAATAACTATTTAGTCAACATGTTTAATTTATGTCAATGATGACAGGTATTGATAATTTCGATTCCAAATATCTCGAGAACCATTACTCGTAGCGATTTTTACCAAGAGACGAGAGACGTTTTTTACGTAAAAAACACCGGAAATGTATATTTTCTAATTAGCAAGTTTTATACAGGTACGGACGAAAAGTTATTACTCTTCAAACCAGTTAAAAAATACGTAGTGCGCCCTCTACAAGTAGGAGCGATATTGACATCGAAATCAAATTTCTCTTTTCAAAAAACTCCCAGACATCAATTTTCATCCAAATATTGACATTACTTCAGAAATTATATGGAAAAAATCGAAATAAAAATGAAATTTCTACGCCCTGTATCTCCGAAACTAAGCATTTTAGGACATACATTTATAAGAACTTTTTACTTATCTTTATCTGCAGAATATGTTGCCGAAGTTTCCGGAATACAGTTCGGACCACCCTGTATATCATCACATCCATCAGAGACATATATTATTAGAGATATACCGGGTGCGTCTCAAAAGTGGCTCACCCCTATAACTTTTTTATTTTTCCAGATAAAAAAAGAGACTTGGTATAGTATTAAGACCTAAATTAGGATTGATTGACGTATTCAATTGTTTTTGGTCACTTTCTGTTTCGCCGGAAATGACTGCAACTTTTGATTTTTAAATGACATCCTCGGTAATTTTTTTACTTTATTCGATAGAAAATGACGTTCTGAACAGAATGGCATATCATGTCAACTCTTGGCATGCTCGCTTAATAAAAAATCGCATTTTAAATTTTAAATCTAGAGTGCCATGGCTATGTTAAAAACACTAATCTTTAATCAAGGGGCCTTGGAAAAATAGATTTGATCGTGTAATGTTTTTAGTGTCTTGTCCTGGCCGGTTAAAAGATGCCCAAATCGTATTTTAATCGTATATCATTTTTTTCAAATGGAACAAGGGTGGCTCATTAGCATATTTGGAAAAAGCATTTTTTTACGAATAATTTGATACCACACGCTTAGTATTTCGAGTCAAATTTTCGTTATGAACCACATATTATAATATCAAATAAACCATATGTGAAAATGTCAAAAGTTGACATATGATATGTCACTCTATTCAGAGTGACATTTTCTATCGAATAAAGTAAGAAAATACTAAGGGTGCCATTTAAAAATCGTAAGTTGTAGTCATTTACGGTGAAACAGGAAGTGACCAAAAACAATAGAATACGTCAATGAATCCTAATTTATGTTATACACTAACATATCAAATTTCGTTCTTCTATCTGAAAAAATAAAGAAGTTATAGGGGTGAGCCACTTTTAAGGCGCACCCTGTATACCATCAGAGCTATTTTGAAAAAAAAAGAAAATTTACTACCCTGTATCTAGAAAGTTAACATGTTCAGAACATATATTCATATGAAGTTCTTTTTTCTTAGAATCCGTTTAAAGCTTGATTTTCATGCATCCGTTTTCCGACGATACGTTGATACGATATTAATTTCAATTGTTGTATTTAAAGGCTTAGATTGTTTAACCGTTTCTAACCAATCAAAGTCTTTAAATTCAACCAATAAAATTAATATCGTATTATCGTATCGTCGGATAACGGACGCATGAAAATCAAGCTTCAGAATCACCTCCTTAAATATTAGCATGTCATTCAGGAACACCCTGTATATAGAAATTATATTTTTTCACAAAGAAATTGTCACTGTCAAGGACGTCAGCTTAAGATATAGTGAAGGTTTAATTGAAATGTTATTTCCACGTCAAAGTGTACTTGAACCAAGTCAACCAATACTGCTATATAAATATACTTATATGGATGTTGCGCGTGTCTTACTTTCACGCTATTTTTATGGTATACTAATAATACTATACAAGCAACGTACAAGTGAGACGCGCATAGCCTTATTATATGTACGGTTATATGGCAGAATCCAAGTATACTAGGTCCAAGTACACTTCAGTCAATCATATGGATTTTTTTCTGCATTCTCGAAACTTGTATCACTTTCTCTTTATCCTTTTTAAACAGGCAACGTTTATTTGAAACCGTTCTAATTTTAGCCACGATTCTAAAAACTTACATTAGGTAATATAATATGATCGAAAAAAAAACGGCGTCAGCGATGGCTATGAAATGAAGATCGCCGTCCTCTTATATGTAAAATTATATGGGGAATGTCTTCGATCGTCATTAACAAGCCAACCAGATGCCGTTTTTTTATCATACGGTATATTTGCTATGCAGGAAGTAAATAACAAGGTTTTTTGTAACTAATATTGTAAGAATGTTTTGTTTAAAAAGTTTTAATGCTAGTAACAAAAACGTATCTTAAATATATAAAAAAATCTGATAATATAAATGCTATAGAGAAATATTTTTATATATACGAAAGGTTTTTGTCAGATTTTACTGAAAATGCAATTTATGTTATTAAAACTATAATGATACGTGCTTAACATTTTCTATATTCTTTTTACACACTTTGTAATATATTTCATCAAGGCTTGATTTTGAAGCAATACAAAACAACTTGTAAATATTTATAAATATCTTGAATTGTAAATATGAACGCATAATATTAGATTATTTAATAAACAGTTTTTATGTAAAAAGAGACTTAATATTTCACAAACAAATAAACGTTCATCAGATACACGCGCATTATGCATAGGTTAAAGGTGTATCATGCTTCATAAAATTATAAGCATCTGAAGGAAAGCATTAAAATAAGTAAACATTCGAGTTTCGGTTTTAAATATATTTTACTAAATTATTTACGTGAGCTTAAGTATATAAACAAAATTACGTCAGCTTATTTGCTTTAAAAGCTTCAAATTTATAATGACCATTGACACTATATCCCGACATCCAAAACGTTCCTCAATTTTCCGACCTTTTGACTGACATAGGTCCTGGAGGTCAAGCTGTTCCGACCCAAGTACAATCCCTGGGCAACGGTCAGTACCAAGCTGAATTCGTGCCACGTGTAGTAGGGGAGCATAGGATCAATGTTTCGGTGTGCGGAGTTCCGACGGCAGGTAGTCCATACGCAGCGAAAGTATACGATGTCCAGGCTATTAAAGTTAAAGAGTCAGCAAGTGGAGTGGTTGGGAAACCTGTCACATTCTTAGGTAAGCACTTTTAAAATTTAAAAATCATCTTCCCATGTCCTACTTTCCGATATTGAAATCCTACATAATAGAGTGTTTAGACTCAGAATAGGTGAGGATATATCTGAAAATTATAGCATAAATGCAAGTGTTCCACAAGGTAGTGTCCTAGGACCACTACTCTATGTCCTTTTTACAGCAGACTTTCCCACAAACAATGAAACAACAATGGCTACTTTTGCAGATGACACAGTAATTACGGCTGTCAATAAAAAGCCGGAAACAGCTTCCTTGATATTACGGAGACATCTAAATAAAAATTAAGCCATGAAAATCGGCCCAAGTAACTTTTACTTTAAATAGTGCCCTCCAGTATATTTAAACAACACACTAATTCCGCAGTCTTCCTCTACCAAGTACTTAGGTATGCACTTGAATACTAAGCTTACCTGGAAAGAACACATAGTAAAGGAACGTAAGCAAATAGATTTAAAAATAAAAGACATATATTGGTTAATAGGAAGAAGATCTAAACTATCGCTAGAGAATAAACTTCTTTTATACAAAACCATAATAATACCTATTTGGACATATGGAGCAGAACTCTGGGGATGCGCTAGTAAATAAAATATAGCCATAATACAAAGGAGCCAATCTAAAATTCTATGGATGATAACAGACGCAATCCAAGCGAACCTGAGCATCCAACACTAATAAGCTCTGCAGATGTAAATAAAGCCCTCCAACTAATGAAAAATGGCAAAGCCCCAGGTTTGGAAAATGTTTCAGTAGAACTTTTAAAGGCTGCCCCCTCAGCAGTTTTGGAAATTCTGGCAGATATTTTTAGTAGATGTTTAAATGGAGAAGACCCGGCCAAAGAATGGAAAAAAGCAATTATTACGTCCATATTTAAGAAAGGGAGCCGACGCGACTGTGAAAATTATAGAGGAATTAGTGTCATTTGTACTGTTGCTCGACTCTATGGCAAAGTACTAAAACATAAGATAGAAGCACAAATAACGGAATCGGAAGAGCAAAATGGTTTTAGACCGGGACGCTCATGTACTGATGGCATTTTCACTCTTAAGCATCTAATCGAAAAAAGGCTAGAAAGGGGAAGGACGGTCCACTTGACATTTATTGATCTACGTTAAGGCATACGATACAGTCCCACTGAGTAAGTTGTGGGTGTCAATGCAAAATTTTGGTATCAGTAGTTGGTATGTCCAAGCAACAAGAAAATCATACGAGGGTTGCAGTAGCACAGTTAAACTTGGAAACAATATTTCCCAAGAATTTCTTGTGAATAAGGGCTTAAGACAAGGGTGTTCATTAGCACCAATTTTATTTAAAGTATATTTGGAGGAAGTACTGAAGTGTTGGAAGATGAAATGCCGTGGAATGGGAGTCCCAGTAGGAAAAGACACTTTATATACCTTTCTCTTTGCCGACGACCAGGTCTTGATAGCGGGAGACAGACGACTCCAGTTATATGTTTAGAAAACTGCATGAGGAATATTCGAAATGGGGCCTAACAATAAACACAAAGAAGACGGAGTACATGGTAGTGGATGATGACGAACGTGAAGATTTGGATGTAGGAATCGGCACAATTAAAAATGTCTGTACATTTAAATACTTGGGCGTCACTTTTACAACAAATGGAAAAAGCACTCAAGATATTGCAAATAAAGTTGGTCAAGGAAAAAGAGTTATCGGTCAACTTAACTCGTTGTTGTGGAGTGACAAAATTTCCCAAAAAACAAAAATTCTACTTTATAAAGCCATTGTAGAGAGCATTACCACTTATGGCGCTGAAACGTGGGAGCTAATCTGCGTCTCAATCAATAAATTGCGTCTGTTATATTATATATTTTCTCCTATAATTTCTCGTATTCTTTGATTTGATATGTGTTCTAGTCTTGAAATGCGACAACTTCTTCGCCCAAAATCCATTTCAAGAGACAGCAACTTATTTTTCTTATTTCAACAAATGTTCTATAAATAATTGAAATAATAATTTTCTTTAACTTTATCAACAGTTGAAACAAGCCAGGCTGGCCCTGGTAATTTAGAAGTGACAGTGAACGGAGGCTTAGTACCAACATCAGCTCAAGCCCAAGGTCCTCACACGTACGCCATATCTTTCACCCCTAGAGAACCATCGGTACATTCTGTGGACTTACGGTTTAATGGCCAGGACGTTCCCGGAAGCCCTTTCAAATGCAACGTAGTACCGGCAGCCAGGATTCTAGCTCCTGACGCTTTGGATAAAGTGTCCGTAGGGCGACCCTGTACGTTTGTGGTGGAAAGTCCTAACCCGCCCATAGTGGAAGTTTTGGGACCTGCTAGAAGATCTTTGCCTACACAAGTAAGCAAATTACTAGTCTAATTTTTACTGAATTAATATAAGCCTATTTCGTCTTGGTTACGCTAACCATAAATAGAGTCATAACAATAGATAAAGGAAACAAGTTTAGATTGGAATGCTCGGCTTGCCGCCAAAACCAAATAATTGTTTTGGGGCGCATACGTTGCAGGGCGCTGCTATTTAATGTTACAGGGCGTTGCTAAGAACAACCGCAAACAAGAACAAAAATAATTTTCTCTTGTCAAAGTTAGAATCTTCAAAAATTATAAAATTTTTCAAAATTTAAACCGCCCTCATTGAAAAAATACAAAAAAGCGTTTAAAGCGTCCATTTTCAAAGTAATCATTGCTATCTTGTGAGTTTATTTAAATTTGATTTACTCAAACCCGTGATAATTGTGAAAAAGTGGCATTAAAAACTTAAAAAAGCTGTGAGAACTGTGAACTGCAAAAACCATAGAGGATCGTGGGAGAACGTCGGTTTCCAATGTTTTATAGGTATTTCATACATGTCCTTATATAAAATAAAGTTTCTTATAGTATATGCAACACACTGTATTTTATTTAAAAAATTAAAAGAAAACAATAACAAATTTGAATAAATAATATTTGGCGACATAATTCCGGAAAAAGCCGAACAGCTCCGAAATTATCAAAAGCTTTGGAAAGCGACCAAATAGTATTTACATTGTTCTTATGGGCACTTTTCAATCTAAACTTGTTTCTTTTATCTATGGTCTCAACTCCCTTACTAACGAGAATTAAGATGCTTGTCTCCGGCTGAGGTACCCGTGAGGTGGAGATTGAAAGATCTGTGTCCATTTTCTCCGCCTTTTTAACTTGGTCTCTCCTTAGACCTGATATCGGTGTTGCCCGGAATCTATAATAGAGGATATCTCTCTCTTTCTCTATTGCCTTTTTGGAATTGAAGTCAATTCCTATTGTGAGGACCTGACCATGGGCCCACCTCTCTTGAGTTGATGACTTGCCAAGTCGATGTCCTTACATTGGCGTTCTGGCAAAGCTGGTGATACTTTTCTGCTTGCCTCCCGCTGTTGGACGGCTTTCCATTCTGGCTTTTTCTTTCCTTGTCGGAGCAGAGGTAAGAGTTTTTGTTCTTGCAAACTATATAAATTGCAACACTTTTCCGTAAAATTATGGCGAAAGAATACATTTTTCGAAGAAAATGAATATGACCGTTTTTAAAATGCTTTAAAAGAACTTTTGAATGCTTTTTTAAAATAGTTCGTAGCTCAAAAACTCGCGGAGTTATGATAAAAATAAAATGGTCACCTTATTATATTTAAAAATTTACAAAATCTATGACTAAAATCATGAAAATAAAAACTAAGTATAATACATGTACATTTGGCTATATTTAGGTACTAACAATGGACTCTGCAAAGAAATTTGGAAAAAAAGTTGAAAATGAAAACTTTTCATTTTTTAAAAAATTCTAATTTTTTTGACACATTATCTCAAAAACTAAGTGAGATACGGTAAAAAATGCTACAGACCCAAGTAGCAAAAAGAAATTCTAAAAGGATTGAATTATGTTATAACAGTCGAATAGCGTTGTCTTAAGGACTGCTTGATTTTATTAAGCGTTTGGTTTCGACCATTCTGTTTTTTAATAAAAGTTGTCATATTAAACTATTCTCTAATGGTTTTTACAACGTATCCTATAACGCATTAAACGATAATTTCTTTTAGTATGATATAACACTTAATAAGACAATACTATATGAAAAAAAACATATTATTTTATTAGACTCTTATACCCACCATGTAAGCGTTCTATAATATTCATATAACTAGTAGTCATAAGATCATATAATAGTTACTTAAACTTGTCTTATTAAAGTTGTATTACGTTGTATAATAGAATATTTTATTGCATTAAACTACGGTGCTGTATACAACACTAGTTATATAGCCTTATATGATAAAATTGTGATTAACAAAATAAATTCGCTGTAATATCTGCATTATAAAACTGGTAATGTATAATATAACCTCATTTTAAATTAAATGGTATACCTAGTTATTTATTTTGTTATTGTTGTTTTTGCAAAAGTAATATTTACGTAGAAGTATAATCACAGCTATTATGATTATACATGGCAGAAAAATATGCAGTTTTTAGATGAAAAATCAACGTTTTAATCCTAAATAACTCGGAAAATATTAATGTTCTGAAAAAATGTTATAAAACATTTTTTGCTTAGAATTCATCCTTTTATTGAGTTTTGCAATTAAAATGGGTGATTTATTTTTCACACCTAGAGAAGGGGTGGCACTCCACCACCAGGGTAAAAGCATACATCGCTATTATGAAACTTTTGTTTTTTACCTATATCTCTATTTACTGTTAAAATTTCACGTCAATCGGTACTGGTGTCAAGAATACGGAGGTAATACCCTATTTTTATCCTCGCTTACTGGCTTAAAAGGTATAAAATGCGACAGAACAAATCTTCAAAAATCCCTTGCCGCTTGCCTGAATGGGCGGTAATGACGTATTAAGAATATATTTATTGATATTGGCATTTTTTTTAATTTTTTTAGGTGAATCCACAACCTGGTGCTGCTGGTAAATTCGAAATATCTTTTACTCCACTTGACGTAGGCGATCACAGTGTCGAAGTCCGATTACCGGGTGGTCATATCGAAGGCAGTCCATTCCTGGTTAAAGCATATGACGCCAACAGAGTTACTGTAACTGATATAATGGACGGTGTCGTTGGTAAACCGGTATCATTCAGCATCAACGCATCCCAGGCTGGAGCTGGTAATTTGGAGATTATTGTAGCGGTTGGTGGCAGAAATGTCCCCAATTTTGTGCAAAGCGAAGGAAACGCTAGGTTTAAAGTCAATTTTAAACCTATCGAACCTGCTACTCATACGCTTAGTGTAAGGTAAGTGACCAGAACAAATCAGTGGCGTGCATAATCTGATGTAGACAAAAAGGCATTGCCTAATATCATAAAATCTTTTTTTATATCAACAGAGTTGTTCACCACATACGACACGGAGTATTGTAGCTAAATGGATAGATTTTTACAAATTGGAAGTTTTGGGTTCGTTGAAGGACTATTATAGCTACAATTTAAACATATTTTTACAAGATACAGAGTGTCCCAAATAAATAAAAAATATCAAAGTTGTATTTTTTTTCAATGGAACACCCTGTATATTATTACATTTTTAGTTTCTACGATTAAAATAAAGGTAAATTTGATTAAGGTTTATTACACTTAAACCTCACCGTTTTTGAAATATTTTCAATTTTGTGAAATTGCAGTCAAAATTTTAAGGCTTCATTTCTCCAAGGGTATCAAAGTTTTTAATACTAAATATTTACTGAAGTCTATTTATTGATCAGTTATTGTGTTGCAATAATAAAAATAATACTACATATAGAGTGTCTAAAAATTTATTTTAAATTATTTCTAGCTTTAAACGGCAATAATTTGTTTAATTTAAATGGAACGCCCTGTATATTTTAGGAGAATCAGATGCATAATTTAATTGTCTATGAAATTGTATTATACCACTTTTTATCTATCCCTTCAAGTTTTCGTAGAAAATGCATTTTCTTATAATTTAGACCTCATTTATCAATACCCATGGAATATTGACATTTTAGATTGTTTTTAAAGCAACAAATGTACAAAATATACAGGCTAGTATTATTATCGTTTTTAGCAAAATGATAATATTACTAGCCCATTTGTATGCAAAAAGAAAACTATTTAAATATTTATAAAAGAGTATATAGTAAACGCCACGAATGTTTGGGAGTGATTCATCGCTTGATGAAGTTAGAATCGACACGCGCGCTATCATTTTTACATTAAAAAGGTAAATTTTTACCGCAGACGTAGGTTTTTAAAGGCCCGGTCTAATCATCTGCCTGCGCTCCTCCTACTTATTCTAAAATGTTAGCGTGATTGGCAAAGACGATACTATATCGCGTTTCTTTGATTGATTTGTTTTTGTGCATCAGTCCATTGGTGTGCTTGCAGTGCGACCAATGGGGCATTCCATTTTATATTTATAACCATATATAGGTTTTGACAAGACTTTGACAGTTAAAACAACAAATTACAACAGATTGTATATTTATTATTATATGACTTGAAACACCACGGCACTGGAATTAAGTTTTATGTGACCTTGATTAGTTCACATGGTAGCGACCGATGAATCACTCCCAAACATTCGTGGCGTTTACTATACCATTAATTAAATATACCACCATTATTTCCGCCTAAATACTAATTAATTACATACTTAATTATGTTCGTTAATAAATTATTCTAAATAAATATGGATTTGAATCAGAAATCAATATAATAATAACTTATGAAAATGAATGTATCTGTTGTTATAAATAAGCATTTGTCAAAAAATGAAATATCATTTTTAAGGTGTTACTTTTTACCACACTGTCTAATACACTTACAAAATTCAGTTTTTTAGTATTTGGAACAATTATAATTAATCAAAGCAAACAGTCAATTAATGTAGTTTGAATACTGGAATCATATTAATTGGTCTTCATTAACAAATATTTTTATTTTTTTATTTTTTAATGAAATAAACACACTATATCGACAATATTAGTATCTGTACTCTTTAAAATTTTGGTACATCTTTAAAAATAACCTAAAATGTCAGTATTCCATGGGTATATTGATAAATGAATTTAAAATTACAAGAAAATGCATTTTCTACGGAAACTTGAAGAGATGGGTAAAAAATGTTATAATACAATTTGATAGATAATTAAATTGTACATCTGATTCTCATAAAATATACAGGGTGTTCCATTTAAATTAAACAAGTTATTGCCGTTTAAAGCTAGTAATTATTTAAAATAAAATTTTAGACACTCTGTATAAGGTAGTATAATTTTTATTATGGCAACACAATAACTGATCAATAAATAAACTTCAGTAAATATTTAGTATTAAAAACTTTGATACCCTTGGAGAAATGAAGCCTGAAAATTAAATTTTGACTGCAATTTCACAAAATTGAAAATATTTCAAAAACGGTAAGGCTTAAGTGTAATAAACCTTTATCAAATTTACCTTTATTTTATTCGTAGAAACTAAAAATGTAATAATATATAGGGTGTCCCATTTAAAAAAATGCAACTTTGATATTTTTTATTTATTTGGGACACTCTGTATCTTGTAAAAATATTTTTAAATTGTAGCTCTAATAGTCCTTCAACGAACCCAAAACTTACAATTTGTAAAAATCTAATCGTTTAGCTACAATACTCCGTGTCGTATGTGGTGAACAACCCTGTATATATTATAACTTATTTCTAATCCAACAAGCATTTTTTATATAATTTTTATCAACATATAGTCAACATAACGTCATTTTTAGATTTAATGGTCAAGCCGTCCCTGGATCACCATTTAACTGTAAAGTCAGCCCAGGAAATATACAACCTCGTGTACCAGTGTCTGGGTCTGGTATAGAATTGGCATCTGTAGACGCCCCAGCTGAAGTTAAAATAGAAGGAGCTCTAGGTATGTAAAATTAATAATGTTTAATATCTATTATGACCTTACTGCTTAGCCTTTATGAATGATTTAGTTATTCATCAATTTTAAACAAACTGTAAATCCAATATAGATATCGATATATATAGGCTTGGTGCATTCTCCGCCGGTGCTGCCACCATCGGAGAATATCGTAAACAACTAGTATACATAGGTTTAAATAGCGAGAATACAAAAAAATTATTATTTATTTATTCTAAAAGTATTAGGAAGTATAATTTGTGAAAATTCTAAAAATAAAAATAAAAAAGTAAATATTTTGACCGCCGCCATTAGGGTTTCCATCAACAGAAAGTAACCAGTGTCGTAGTTTCTTTCATCGACTGCGCACATTTTCGGCTGATTCGAGTCAGTAGCGTACGGATTAATTTATTTTGTTTATTTCTTGAGTTATATTTTATAGTTGTTGTTTTATTTTTCTTTATTGTGTTATATATTTGGTTTTTCTAGTTTATTTTCGTTTCTTGTGTTATATAATTTATTTTTGTATTTCTGAACATTTTTAAATCTTTAATTTTTACGTGTTTTTAAAATGCCTGGGCGAAGTTGTGCAGCAAAAAACTGCCCGAGTAGAGGACTAAACTGCAATAAAAGTTTCTTTCTGTTTCCTAGAGATCCGATTAGGTATGTATATACATATGTGATTAATTATTTTAACATATTTTAGTTAAAAAAAACAGTAGTATACATATTAGGACATTCAGCTAAATAGAAAGATCTAATTAAAAATATACAAGTTCAGCATCTATATTAAATGTTAACAAACTTATATACAGGGTGAGTCTTAAATAAGTGCAAATATTTTCAGGGCTGGCAGATCTCGATAAAAGAAACATATTTTCTCCTTACTTTTTCAGATAAATCCAAAATAACCGAGTTATTTAAGTTTAAAAAAAATGTTTTTTTTAAATGTTGAGTTGAGAGCCACCGGATTTTTTCTGTATTTGCATCCCTTTTAGTGCCGCAACCATAGAGTAAAGCCGTAACTATGGTAATATCAGAGATTAAGAAATTATACCGTGGGAAAATTTGCGGTGAACAGGCAGTTTTAAAAGTTTCGAAAAATATACAGGGAAGTTAAAAAAAATGCACGATTTTCAATATCTTTTTTTAGCAAAAAAAAACTCATAAACGTGTTCCTGGGGTCGAAATATACCACCCCTGAAAATATTTGCACTTATTCAAGACTCACCCTATATGTATATAAAATATTAGCAAAATTAAAATGTTAAATATTTAGTAAAATTTAATGTTGTATCTAGACATTCAACATTAAATTCAAAAATAATTATATTAATAATTATTAAATAAAATTATAAAAATAAATAAAATGAGTATATCGAAAATAACAATAGATTAGTAACAAGTTAACAATACATTTTTAGGGCAAGAACATGGGCAATTGCATCTAATAGAGAAGACTTGGTTGAAAATATAAATAAGGCCCAGAAAAGGTACAGGTTGTGTTCTGTTCACTTTGAATTTAAAATGTTTACCAATTCACTTTGTAACCGTATAAAATACAATGCGGTACCTACTTTGTTTCCTGCCATGAAAAAAATAGAAGTTTCTCAAAAAAATTGTGGATTTATTAATTTGTGAAATTTGAATATTAATAAAATTTGCTACGCCCCTTGATGGGCATAATTTGTACGTAGCCTCTTTATATTGTTCAATAAATATTTTATTGGTATTTTTTTAATTCTTGTTTGTAACTCCTGGCATGTTTTTGTTAGTTGCATGTTTTTTAATTTTAATTGTCTATTCTCTACAGTGAAATATTTAATTGATCTTTTCATTTTTAATTTTCGAGAAGTATGCGCGGTTAACGATTCATTTGTTTGGACAAAAGTATTGTAAATAAAATTCAGTTTCAGTCAATTACAGTATTTTTTTAATACGACCCTGTCGTATTTTCTGAGAAATTTTTTAATACGTTTTAATCAGGCCCTGACTAGGAAACCATAATGGCGCCGACAAGGTCAAATTTTATAGAAATTTTAAACAATGGAATCTGAGTAGGGTTGGCGTGCCGATTGTTTTATGTGACGCTTAGTTCGAATTCTTTTTCATTTATTTTTTACTACCCGAAACAGCGTTACATCACACAAACCTCGTACCTGAGTATTTTATAGTCTCAATAACTGCATTAGCAAAAAACTAAAATACTTAAATATTATGACAAAACCACGATTTCAATATTATTTTAATGCGATCAACATAACGGCGGCGTGAAATAGGTACTGATAATTTCTGATTTTTGCCCTTGAAGCGCTGCGGTTGAAAATTGTTGAAATCAACTGAAATGCACCAAGCCTATACTATCTTCAAAAATACAATAGATACCTTTACTTAGAGAATACTTAGAATACCTAGATACTTTTATAGAAAACTCAGAAAACGCCTATGAGGTTTTATTATATTATAAATTATTTGATTTTTTTTTGGAAATTTTTAGTTTTTAGTTAAAAAACATAATTTCTTGATAATATGGCAACACAGGTATTAGATTAAATTTACAAGACAGAAAATCCAGAAAAGATCCAGTGGTTCTAAAGATTTTAGCAAAAAATATTTTTTTTTGGATATTTTCAAATTAAAATAACTCCGTTATTTTGGAGTTACCTATTTGAAAAACGATAAAGAGAAAATATGTTTCGTTTATCGAGATCTATCACCCCTTAAAATACTTGCACTTATTTCTGGGACACCCTGTATAATCTAGGATACAAATTAACAGTTTTATTTGGTTCTACTACTATAATTATAAATTATTTTAAAACATATTCATTACGCACTGTCTTTGTTTTTAGGCGGTGAACCTCAAATTATTGTTACTGCGCCTACTGGCAAGATACTTCCGGTCAAGCTGTCAACCATAGCGGATGTTTATACGGCTCACTTCATACCGGAAATGGTAGGAAGACATTCCGTCGCCATTTTGATCAACGATCAACACGTCATCGGTTCGCCGTTCAGCTGTAATGTTTATGATGTCAATAAAGTACTGGTTACCGGCATACCTGGAAGAAAGAATGACATTACAAGAGCCATGAACGATTTAAGCTTTAGGTAAGTTGAAACACGGTAAAAATGAATTAACTCTTAAGGACGGTCCACACTTCCTATATAACTCTGCTATATATCAAAGTTATATAACATGTTACATATTTTTTAGTCATATTTAGCAAATTTCGCTGCTATATAACTTGCTAGATGTTATCCATTTGTAGTCGGTAAAGATCAGAAGATGTTGCGCCTAACCTAACCTAACACTGCTATTGTAACATGAAATGACGCGTCCAGATTTGCTAAAAATTTCTAGTTTAGCCACTCATATTTTCAGGGATGTGCGCGACAGAATCAGAGTGTGGTGAGTTGATATTGGTTTGTTTATTTAATGGTCAATAATACCGTATGATCGAAAAAAAAACTGCTTCCAGTCGGCCTCTTGTCCTGTTGGCTTGGACATGACGATAGATGACATTCCCCATATAATTTTCCATATAAAATGACAGCGATCTTCATTTCATAGTCATCGCTGACGCCATTTTTTTTCGATCGTATGGTTCTTATTAATGGAGTAGAACCAAGAGTAGACTTGTCAACTAATTAAGTTGTATAGAGATCATACAGTGTTATGGGATATCCGTAATCCCTCATTTAAAGTGAAATAAAAAAAAGCATGATGCATGGTTAAAAATTGCAAAAAGTATGTATTTGGAACAAAGGGGACAAAAGAAATGCAAATCAGGTACTGGTTTAGATGAAGTGGATAATTCAAAATGGTTTGCTTTTAAGTTATTAATGTTTTTAAAAGACAGAAACACACCACGAGAAACAGCCGAGGTAGGTATTGAAAAGGTAAGCTAATTGAGTTCAACTATATCTAGATCTGGCTTGTAGGCTATGGCGGACTAAAAAAACGCTTTTTTTCGATTTTCTTTCTCTTTCTTCGAAAATAATTACGCACGCCGCTGCCGCGAGCAGAACCTCTTTCTCGCCAAAACGATTCATGATTACGAAAACTATAATGTGGACGACTCCCGGTTTTTTAACATGTGATATGTAGCTTGTTAAATAGCAATGTTATATAACATGTTACTAAATGTGGACCCTCCTTTATGCACTCTTCTATATCCAACGAAAGGATACATAACAGTGACAGTTGTTTTCTTTAACATTCCAAATCCCATTTGATTGTAATAAAGTCAAAATAGAAATCACTAAACACTAGTGACGGCTATTATTATACTTTTTAGTGAATCAAATTATACTATTCAATACGATTCGTTCATTTGAACGAACCACATACCCATTTTACGTAACACAGTATAAATAGATATTTTTTTTGTAAATAACTTTCTTATCGCTTGCATCCATGTTTGTTTAGGACTTTTGTTCGAGTCCAAATATTGGTGCCTTACTATACAGGGTGTCCCAGAAATAAGTGCAAGTATTTTAAGAGGTGGTAGATCTCGATAAAAGAAACATATTTTCTCTTTATCGTTTTTCAAATAAGTTCAAAATAACGGACTTATTTTACTTATTTCCAAAAAAAAGATTTTTTGATAACATTTTGAGAATCACTCTTTTCTGGATTTTCTTTCTTGTAAATTTAATCTAATACCTTTGCTTTTACCCTCAAAATTTCATTCGAATCACTAAAAGTACTTGAAAGAAAATTATAATAAATCAAAAGATTATTAAAACTTTAACACCCTGTAGCTACGAAACAAAGCAGAATCAGACCTATGTTGATATGAAAATTAAACTTATTTTTACGTGAGGAATCTCCCCACGAGAGGCGGCACATGTTTTTTGAAACACCCTGTATAAGGTAAGTACAGACCATCTAAAGTAAATGCCTCATAGAGTTTTGATTTCAGGACAGGTATAGTCTGTCCAACGAGAAGATCCTTGACAGTGATAGATGTGTCTGTCATTTTAATTTCAAAGTAGTTTATTTTATTTTACAAAGAAATAAGTTGGTACAACTGGGACGCATTGCAGGATATATTTAAAATTTGATTGACAAGATGACAAGTGATTACTTCAAAATATTGGGAAAAAACCTGTATAAAACTGAAAAAATGTAATCGAGTTATTTTATTTAATAAAAACGGTATGTGTTAATACAAAACAAACAAGAACAAGACATTACATACCAAAAAAATATAAAAAAGAACTATTATTTACTTTGAAGCTTTATGAAACTACCCGCATTTATGATTATATTTATCAATATAACTTATGTACAAATACAAATTTGTAATGTTCCACAGGAATAAATAAAACAACGTAGGTAAATAAAACAAACTATTTTATTAATAATAACACCTACCAAATTTTATACCTTAAAGGTTGATTAATTAACTTTAATCTTAATTTTTTTAAACCAGTACCTTTTGACATTATTTTTCTGCAGTACTAAAATCCATTATTTACCTATCGTGTGATGTCGATATTTTACAGCTACTGCAGTTTTTAGTATGTGTTTAGTTTGAT